CGGAATGATGCTCGTTGAGCTTTCTATTTTTTGGCACATCTGGCAAGTGAGAGCTGGCTAGCTGGCATCCCATATTGCTGTAAATTGGCATCCGTTTAATCGGATCGCATAAGCGTGACATGCGGCCAAAACAAACAATCAAGAACTATTGTAAGTCACATTGTCACCTAGAAAAAACATACATATTTGTCGGGAGACCAGATCTCTGAGCAACTGGGATCTCGTCCAGGTGAATAGAGAGTCCCAGCTCTCTTCAGTCATTAGGTTCCAGGCATTTTTATGGATAGAATCATTAACAATGGCTATTGTGCAATAGCTATTGTGTGCCAGGGCTAACTCCCACCAGGTCACTGTGCGGGTTAAACATGCAGTGAAATGCCAGTACCTGGGAAATGAGGGAAGATATATAAGGGGCAGATTTACACGAACCGACCTGAGCTCTCTGCCAATCTTTCGCTCTTTGAGATTTGACACAAACGAGTTTGTCAGCTCGAACTGATTTGTGGTTGATCTACAGTCGTTTTTGGAAGTTTTTGTTACAGGTTGGGAGGAAAAATCCTGCTGTGAATTCTGCAGAAGCATTATAGTGGACCCATCGAAAGAAACTAATCGCTCAAATGGCAAGAGGACCGCCCTAGACGCAAAATGGATTCACGAAACCGGAATAAAATAATAGTTTTTCGTAGTTCTTGTTGAGCAGCTGTATTTGCACTATCCCTGGAGGCCATTCCTTTGATTATTTTCTAACCTTTTTTTGTTATCTGTAGGTTGCATCATCGCCACCACATTTACCATCGTTTTTGACGTTTTATACTAATGAACTCATTCGATTTCAAACCACCTATATGTTATGACGTTATAACACGGAACTGTTATATTGGCCCTTTTCAATCGAATATTCGACTTGGAGCAGGTATTTGACTTTGTAACCCACTTCATGAGTAGGAGATGATAATTATTATAGTTGCCAATAAATTATTTTTTCTTGAGTTTCTGCTAATATTTTAGTCATTATCATTACGAATTCAATGCAGTCTATACTGCTGCCATACTTATTCCAAGCGCTTCGAAACAATATAATCGTTGCGACAGAATTCTACTGATGCGAGAAAAGATAGCGATAAGTTCAACTTTTTAAGCGAGCTAAATGATATGCATATAAGCACGGTGAGCCCGTTCATCGAATCATAAAAATACAACCGGCGGTCTTACAAGTATCATCAGGGGGTTGCACGATGAAAAAGTTGGCGAGTATCCATTACTGATGCAAGGTTATGGAATAAAGATTCGGTCGAATCCCAATATACAGATAGACGTTCGAATTTCTCGATTCTAGGCCACTTCCTTTCATCCAACTCGCGATTCTTTGCTCCCGAAAGGTCCGGATGCAATAAATCGATCATGACAGACCACCCAGGTGGCAGACATTCTGGTGCAGCACGCGTTTTTCCTGATATTACTACATGAATGGAGCTGCGGAACTAAACCTAATAAAAAGCTAGAGAAAAATCTACATCATTGGTTATTCCGAGCAATCTCATATCAGATCTTGACGTAAAGATTAGTCTGAGTGGCCCTGAACTGGCCGGGGATCATGATCATAAGTCAGCATCACAAAGTGCTACAAAGCTCAAGGATTAAAGTAGCTGAACAAATTTAATCTTATTCCATTTGTTGAAGTTTCAAACCTATCAAATAAATAAGTGATACACAATCAGTAAAGCTGATCGGTTAGTTAGGCGACTGCTTGCATATTGCCATCATGAAACCGGTAGATCAGGGATCAGACCAACAATCAATTTCGAGCAATTCTCCTGGCTCCATTATTCGGAAAGGGCAGCCATCCACAAACTGCCTGGAAAAGCTTTTTCTGTTTTGCATTAAATTCCAATCTAATCAAAACATCCTTTGTCATACTGCGCATTGTCACTCCTTCACATTGCATATCGTTAGATTGTAATTGCTTCTGTTTCTGAATGAAGTCTACCGCTTGGAACCTTGATTTGGTTGATTCTCTATGAGGAACTTATCCATTAACTTTCCAGAAATAAACTTAAAAGTCAGATGCTCTCGCCGTCGATTTCCTCAGCGTTCACGACTTCGTGCCACCCTGGATGGTTTCCAAAGTATGTACATTCGTGATATTGTTTAATTCAATCCGTGACTAGGCTATTAATGTCCCTAGCATTTCGAACAAATCACCCCACAGTCTTGCACCTGTAAAAGTTATTTGTGCTTAGCTTGTTAACATGTGGTTTGTCGATAATTGGCGCTAATGGACCATTGTAAGGATTGCACAAGGATTCAGACGGCTCCATGATCCTGACTGAAGCCGAATGCCCTGCATTCACAATGAAGCTCATCTTCTTTTGTACATATTAACGCCTTTGTTTTTGTCTGATCCTTGCGTCGTCTATAATAGGACCTGCACTATCGTTAGTCAATACTATAGGCAGTTGCATAGTGCAACAGTGCAAATTTCTACGAAAATGGCAGCATGGGCTAAGCTTTTTTTCCAAAGGCACGGGCTCAGTCACCTAGTCATGTGACAAATCCGAATCGTTTCCTTCATCTCCATACAAGACTCCTACAACTTGATTGAACGGGGTGTAAAGCAGTCAGTCAACTTCAGTCCCACAAGAGCTTAAGAAAGTTTTGTAATTCTCCAGTCTGTTTTCATGTAGACCGAGCAAAACAGGTTTGATTCTGAGTTTGTCTTTTCAATCCATTCAAGTTAGGAGCACCCTCATGTAATAGGTGAATCCCCCATGGTCTCTTGATGGAGTTGCAACCGTAATTTTTGAATGACTTTTATCTGAATATGTTTGGCCATGCACTTTGTTTCTACTGCATAGAGGCAGTTTGAAAGGCAGATATACTTGATTTATTCTGAAATATTCAGAAGAGCGGAGATGAGCGGACGTTTTCGAAGTTTCAGGCTTGACTACGAGTCCACTTCCTAGATTGCGTACCAGCCCCATTGACAAAAACCTGTTCTCTTTAATTTCTCTTCAATTAACAGGTAAGAACCCATTTGACCTTCCACGTGACTAATTTGTTCAATTCGTGTTCTTAGGAGGATCGTGTTATAGCAGGGGATTTACATGTTGCTCAAATAAGGGCAGAGAAAGAAATATGATAGCGACAGCTGAAACGATAACCCTAAAAAATGGGTCAGAGATCGGGTAAAAAGAATAATAGTCCTTACAGTTTTTCTTAGAATTACTTTCGGATTTTATCCCCAATCCAAGCGTATGGTAATGGCTCTAGCGCAATTTCCAATTTTGAACTTACCGGTAAATCATAACCATGTAGCAACGCCTCCGCGGTGGCCAAACACCTTTAAAACACTTCTTTCTATTTTTAGTTCACTAAGGCATTGTAAACAACTAATCTAGATAACATAGTGTATCCGAAAATAGAATCAAGTAATAGCGAGCCCTTCAAGTCGGTTGTTGAGGCATTAGTTATTTGAGAATTTGAAGAACGATTTCGTGAATAGAAGTGAAGCGAGTGGTCTGACAACTTTGTGGAATGATTTTCTGTGAAGCGAATCGATGGGTGAGAAGTTGCTGAGACTGAAACCGTTTCCGCTAGTTTCCTAGCCGGCCATCCTCTGGTCACTAACAACTATATCTCCAGGTGTTTTCCAGGTGTATTTGCATTTTGATGCATCCTTTTGGGGAATTTTTCGGCTTATGCGATGTAGGAGGGCGCTATCGATTCGCAAGCCATTGCAAACATATAGCGAAGAACATTTAAAAAAAGCTACCGCCATGTGTGCATATATGTGTGTGTGGGCTTTTTTGGGGGATTCGATAAAGCTTTGTGGCAACAACACTGCCTGGCTGCAGCATTGACTTGTCGTCATTTTCCTCAAGGTTCTGTTGGTTTCAAATGGTGGCTGGCTCTATCGGGGTACGTGTTGGCTCGATGTGGCCGCCAGCGACGTCCCAGGAAGAGGCAAAGATGTGTGCGTGAGAGAGAGCGAGCGTGGCAACTGTGGATAAGAACTGACCGACCCTCTGACGACATTTGCCCCGCACGTCAAGTCATCTCATTGCGTTTTGAATGGCAACATTCCGCTTATGTTTACACTGTGTCGTTTCGCTCTCACACTTTGTAGACCTGAGGCTTTGTAGAGATGGCAAACCCGAAATCTGTCAAGTCTTACTTCGCCCCATACATCAGGTTTCGGATGTTGACGTTGCCGAAGTCATACATTTTCACCCAGTGGCTGTCTTTCAACGTGAAATATCTATCTATTGATTTCGTTTGCCCATAGAAGACTTGCAAATTTTTCAACTACTCTCTGGCAGTTGTAAAGTCAGGTGATCCTAAAGAACCCGAGAGCAACGAGAAGTGATGGTGGTGAAGCGCTGCCGAGAAACATTTGTTCACGCAATATTTCTTCATTTCTCTCTGCCCGTGCCTCTTTGAGGCTAACGAACTTGCACTTCTTTACAGCCAAAACAGCAGCAGCAAAATCCATTTAAAAACAGCGTGCAAAAATGCCTATTAGAACGTCGATATTCTTCAGTTTTGTTCGCATCAGAGTGATTCATCTGAAATGAGTTGCTTATAGTTAAGATGACAAAGAATTTCTTAATGTATAAAAACAATAGGGGTTCCCGTCTTGCCACGTCAACTGTTCCGAGGCGTTTCCATAACAATATGAATCATATGAGTAACCATTATTCTCGTTCAAGTAATTCATAGTCAACACTAAGAATAGCTAAACGTTTTGTTTCCTTCGTTTGAATGATTTTCTGCTACCGTATGACTTCAATCGTCTTCCTCGATACTGCTGTCTGGCCAGATCCTCCTCATCAGGTCATCGGGTGTGTACGTTAGGGCACACGACCATCAATGATAAGCAATCTTATCAGGCCCCCGGATGGCATTAATTCTTTTGCGGTCTCTGTTTAGACATCGTTGACTTCTCTGTCAATAATTGCTGCCGTCTATTCGCCAGTAATTCATAGCCAGTACTGAACGTGATGGCGGCTCCGGACGGCGGCCCAAAAGGCGATCGAATATGGTGTGATGGATGGTGAGTCTCTAAGCCACGTTGTTTATCCAAAACCTTCGACTTAATGTCAGTTCATTTAAAGTAATCAACACTACTCGTTTCTCTCGGAGTTCCCCCGATTCGTGACGTATTTTCTGATTAGTTTCGTTTCTTGAGACTGGTTTCCGGATGAGGTTAATTCGAATGAATGCAGGGTTTCTGTATGTCAATTTTGGGTTTTTCGACATAGAACTATTACAGTAGAAGTAAAAGTAAAGTTATTAACGTATGGCACTTAAGCTATCAGCCTACTAAGGGCATGCGGAGTAGTTTGTGGTAAGAAACATGACAGATAAACCATGTGCCATTGCACTTCTTACTTCAGAACCCGATATTGCATTTTTTTCAACTTCAATAAAAGGATAAGAGCAGAGTAATAATTTTTTTCCGATTCTTTGATGATCCCAACTTATTAGTCAGAAAGTCAAAATATCAATGAACTAGTGAGAAAAAGATGTTTTTATAGATAGCATTTATAGATAAGTGGTCATATCTATTCATCAACAACGGTAGTGGTCATAAACAAACCGTTATACTGAGCAGTATGGTGTTTCACTTATTATGCAGCACTACGCATGGTGCAGAACTGCAGCAAGAGCTGGGCACATGCCAAGTGCATCGCTGAAGTTCGTAGTCATGCCTTAACCTACTTTTTTATTTGTGATATTCATGTGAAACAGGTAAAATGAAGTAAAAGTCTCAAAATGAAAATAAGTGGTACCAGAGGGAGTGCGACTGATATGGCTCGCCCCTCCTCCGTTGAAAGCTCCCAAAGGAAGCATGGAATTCGGAAAATAGAAAAGAAAATGGCGAATCATCCTCCTTGAGAGTTGAAGATTTCACGACCACTAACTCATGGTTAAAAAGTAACATCTTCGTACACTCCAAGTCTAACATCTTTCTGGAAATGCTATGAACCATGAAGCATCAACTACTTTATTAGTAAAATACTTATATAATACCAAAATAGTGACGCAGTCACATGTCGAGCCAGCTTATGCGGAAGCCTGCCTTGTTCTTGGTTCTACCAGACTCTGGCCCTAATTAGGCGGCAGACCATTAAGAGACGGAAGACTTCTTCGACTCACTCAGAAAACCACTTTGAGACTTAATCCCTCATTTGAATGAGTGGTAACTGGTTAGCTGGAACTTTTTTTGGTCTATTGGTAGACCACAACCGAGAAGTCTCGTCTTTGTACTGGCGAAACATCTCCCAATTATTCCTTTTCCATTTTTAGAATATTAATTACTACTGAATGACGTGGCAACTATGGATGTTTTCGATGACTCTACTTTACTTACAGCTATGATATGGTACACTTTGGTCATGCCAATCAATTACGTCAAGCCAAACAATTTGGCAAGAAACTTATTGTTGGCGTTCACAATGATGAAGAGGTTGGTTCCTGCTTTCAATGGTAATTTGACATAAACGGCCTATAACTTTTATTCATATCAATCAATCTTCGTGAATAAAAAAGGAACGATTCAAGTCCAAAAAAGTGCAACGTAGCACCAATTCAGATTACGATGCATAAGGGTCCACCAGTGTTCAATGAAGAAGAGCGATATAGAATGGTCGAAGGCATCAAATGGGTCGATGAGGTCGGTTCGTTGGATTGCCTTTCATGACCTGACTCACTTTTAAAGATCCCCATTGCTGTGACGTTCTTCTTTATTTTTTCCTATGTTATGATTACTCATAAAATTTTATGTTGCTTGCTAAATACAAATACTGATAACCAACTGCCATAAAACTGGGAAGTCGTAAAAGGTTTTTGTTCATCAAGCGTCAATTTCACACATTCAACAGATAGAAGGGTAGCGATATCGATTTTATTGTATTGGATATGTCGTCGATTTGTTCTGCCTCTCATGTATAGCTCTTCGCTATCACAGCAAGAGGTAACGAGTAACTCTGGAGTGACCCTGTAACAGCTGATGCTGCTGCCTAGCATACCCAATTCCCAAAATCCAACGCGATCACCTGTCTGTGCCAGCGCCACTTCAGCTGCAATTCACAAACGTCGAAAAACTGTAAAAACATGCATGAAATATTTGACATTATTGCTATTACAACAACTGACGTTTACTGAATGTGGTCTTCGAACAACATGGAATAGCTCCAGACTATTTGCCCTTTCCCATTTTGTACCCTCACCCACTCTCTTCGTTGCAGGCTTCCCGCCAAATTTATCTATCGATCCTTTCCGGTGATTGCTGCTCTCATTGTCAGTAACATTGTCGCTTTACCAACGAAGTGCCTTCTACTATATATTTTTTATTGCGATATTTAAGGTGCCAAATAGATTGAAGCGTTTAGATTGTATGTTTCTGGTAGATTACTCCCTTGATTCAGTTCCTTTACGTCTGCCCTAAATTGTTGTAGTAAGGACTATGTCATTTCAGGTAGTCGAAGATGCACCATACATTACAACTGTGGAAACATTAAATCGTTATGACTGCGATTTTTGTGTTCATGGAGGTAAGTCTTACAAAATCTGGTGAAAATGTAGTTGGGGATGCCAGCAGGCTTTTGTGATACGCGTCACTGACAACTGACGGCAGAATGCGTAGAGACCGTCAAACTCCTTCCCTTCTCGAGCTCAGGTAAAAACATATTTATAACGTTAAAAAACCTAGTAACGTATCACTATCACTATAAAAAGGCTTGCGGCCTGGAAACCATCTCTGCCCCCTGCTGTCTGGTGTCAGAGACGCAGAGCACAGAAGGCCGCTGGCTCCCCCAAATACATTTTCACCCAAAATCTTATCTGCTTCTTTTTATAGAAAGATACAAATAACGCCGTTTGTGGTAAATATGTACGTCGTAAGGGTTAACATCCTAGGAGTGCTGGTTACCAGTAACATATGTAACTTTGTATAAGTCTCTGCGTAGTACAACATACCTAATGATATGGTTGATTAAACAAGGATATCAGATAATTTGAGAAAGTTCTTCATCCGGTTTATTTATTTATTATTTATAGATCAATGAAATCAATGAATTCCACTTGTAGATGACATTACGCTCACAGCCGACGGAAGAGACACATACGAGGAGGTGAAGAAAGCGAAGCGCTATCGTGAATGCAGACGAACAGCCGGAGTATCGACCACGGTGATTTCAAGTTGTTGTTGAGTGCAAAGTCCAAGTATCTGAACCTAAAAACCAGATCCCCCCACCTCTACGCATTTCAATCAGATTCAGCTTCCTCAAATAAGATCCAATATAAGCTACAAAGCACTAAAATGTTCAAGGTTGGTCAGTCTGTGTTTGCTGTGAGCCACACTTCCACTCTGAATGCAAAAATTTCCACCACGCAACGAAAGAATCGCAGGGGGCCTGCCATTACGTTTAACCCTCTGCTTTGATGATGTCAGCTAAAGTCGTCTTGAGAGCCTCGAATGATGGGATCAACCCGCCCTCGTCCCAGTTGAAGCTATTTTGACATCTCTATGAATTCGATGGACCGAGTGGGTATTGGGGTTGAGGCTTTTTCAAATCGTTTGTGGATCTGAAAACCCAGAAGACTGCTCATTTTTCCATTCAGGACCTTGTGGGACGGATGCTTCTCTTGACAAAATGTCATCACGTGTCCGAAGAGCACATGGATCAGCATCGAGAACGTGCTCGAACGTTGAGCACGGTATGTTGAATGACCAAGTTTGCTGTTGTGTATCGATGCTGGTTATTGAATTTGAGGAAGAACTGCCAATCCAACGCTTTAACGAAACTCCTTTTGAAGCTTTACTTCATTGCAACAGCAAAGAATGTGTCTAATTTCTGCTCAGTTTCAAGGCAGATAACAAAGGGAAAGTGAAACAACTCTATTTGAAAAAACTTATCACACGTCGCACCTCTATCGACCAACTCATGAATGGGGATGATGCCTTCGTGGGGAGGGGAAAGGTACGGGAAATCACTTGTTTGTTATTTGAAGTATACCAAAAGAGAATTTGAAAGTGCCACTGCGTAAGTTCAGTGTTTTGGGAACTTGAACGTTTGGCAACTTTATCTGAGAAGAGAACTTCTCGAACTCAGCTTCTGGGTGCTAGAAAATCTTTCCACTGCGTATGATGTGAAACTGAAGACCATATGCTGGAAGTTAGCAAAAAGCTCGGCGTCGACTTTCGCCGTATGCTCCTCCTTCAGGGAACTCATGGCTGAAATCTGTTCAGCGTTAACGACTAATTCCATTACTTTCTTACTTTTTACCCATCGACACTGCTATCCGAACCTGTGCTGTCTCCTCAATATTGGCCGGCATTTGTTGATTCCAGCAGGGCTGCTGTTTGTGCGAACCCTCGTTCGCTGTAATGTGCATCATCTTGGTCCTTGCCGCGTTATTATGCCAAACGCTCGCTCCCAGAACTACCGTTCTTCGAACTCTCTATACATCTCAGTTTTCTCAGAATACATACCATTACTACTTCATATACTGTTACTGCAATTGTTCACTTTCTCGTCAATTTTTCTTATGAACGTTTCTCATATAACGAGTTTACTTTCACTTCACTTCACTTATTTTTCGCCCACTTGAAGGGTGACGGAATAGACTTGCAGTCGTTGTGTTACTGCACTGTTTTCTTTACAAATTCGTGATTGAGATGGAGAGAAACATACGAAATTTCGACCACATCCCTCAAATATGTTTGCAACTAATGGGGAGCTTTCTTCACTTTGAAACCTTATTTCAATACTTATTATATGTGCCATCCCTGCTGACTGCACTATACCAAACAGAAGCTCGGATTATTCCCGAGCTGTAAAGCTGTTTGTTACCTATATACAAGTTTTAATTGAATACTTTCCTGAAATTGAATGAAATTTAAAACTTCGCAGTAGTGAGTGATAGCATTTGATATCATTTTCTTTTAAACACTGTTCAGGCCTCATTTTTACTTTTTTTTTTGTAGTGTGTGGATTTCAGGATAGCGTAGCACAGTCGCCGTGGACGCGCGTTTCGCGCTTCATGGCGACCACCCAGACCATCGTCGAGTTTGCTGAGGGGCGAGCGCCAAGGCCAACTGATAAGGTTACTATTTCCTGACACATTAACTATATTTTGTTTTGATTCTTATCGCTGATCAACTTGGAAGATAGTTGGTTATGAGCTCTCGCTCAATACCTTAGTCAGTCAATCCGAGATCTGACTGATCACCCTAAGGTTACACTCCATAATGCAGCGCTTCAAGAAACAACGTTACAAATTTGTTTTTACTGTCAGCTATATAATTTAAATATTTTAGATCGTTTACGTGTGTGGCGCCTTTGATCTGTTCCACATTGGACATCTTTCCTTTCTGGAGGAGGCGGCCAAATTGGGCGACTATCTTATTGTTGGAATATTAACAGATCAGGTGATTAACTGGAATGGCTTATAAGACAATATCGTCAATACACCAAAACAGTTACTATAAATAAACTGAACACCCAATTGAGTGGGATGATAGAACAGAGCTCCGCCAGGCATAGCCTGAGCCGTATGGTCCTGAGATGCTGCAAAAGTTTGTAAGTGACCATCCGGCTTGGCCGTTTGCTAAGCAAGGGCTAGGGCACGATGTGTCCATGTTTGTGAGTGTGGAAATAATCTATACCTTTTATATTCAAGGTTATAAACGAGTACAAAGGAAGCAACCATCCAATCATGTCATTGCACGAAAGAGTTTTGAGCGTCCTCGCTTACAAGGTGAGATTGCATGTTTATTTAGCAAGAGTAGAAGAAGCTGTGGCAGTTGTAGCAGCATCTTTTAGTCTCCATAGCCCATCAGGACATTTTCTATTTCAGCCAGTGAACGAAGTTGTGATCGGAGCCCCATACAGCGTTACTGACGATATTATTGATCGGTTCAATATCTCTGTAAGTCATCTAGTGATTGTAGATGCTTCGCTGAGACGACAACTATAATATTTTAGATTGTCTGTCAAGGTAGTCGTGTACCTCATCACGATCACATCGGTCCCGATCCGTTTGAAGCTGCAAAAAGACGAGGTGAGTGAATCTTCACTATATCAATATATATAAATATTTATATTTATTGTATATCTGTAGAAAGCAATCTTGAATAATGTTAATTGGTGAATTTTCTCCACTATACTATACACCGATTGCGTCGAGGCTATCCATGTAATGATGCCCATATACTTTGTGAGTAACTAACACCAGAAGGAATATTGTACGAGACTTTATATGCCTTTAGTCTCCGACTAGTGTTTTGGGTTGGGATTTACGACACTGAAAAAAAGGAATTTCACAGTTATGGAGAAGAAAAAAATTAGGGACGACGTGCAAAAAACTAGCATTTCAGAGCGAAATAGTGAGAAAGTGGGAAGTTTCTGTTCCCTCTGTTACGCGATCAGTGTGACCACATGCTTTCTGTCATACGTGAATTCCATGAATCCGAACACACTTCCGCTGTACAACTATCACGCCCGGCTATATTAATGTGCCACCCGGCCTTGCCATGTTCTTCTTGACAGTAGTAAAGTAAGGAAAATTCCCGCCTCCACACTCAAACAGAAAATGGTGAAAATGTAGACGGGGGAGGGGGTTGCACCTCTTTTCTCTAGTACTAAGAGCTAGAACACAGAGAGGGAGTACGAGCCGGATTTGCGGGCCTGTAAAGGTGTTTAGAAGCATCTCTTTACCATGGGAACGTAGTTTTTCCCTGAGGAGGAAATGAGCACCGGGTTGGGTGGTTGCTCCTTCTGTAGGAATAATACGCTAGTACGTTACCGCAGAAAACAGGCAGAAAACTATATTTCCTCTGCTAGAATAACATAGCCTTCCACCCTGCAGGCGCTCCAGCGCTTACTTTTGAAAGCGGGAGCCTTCTCCTTTCCCCCCCCCCCCCCCTTTCAGTCCCTCAACTGCATTTTCAACCCGAATATCTCTCGTAGTAGACAGGATCTAAAATTGCTGATCTAATTAGAGGTTCTGGTGGTAATACAGTTTGCGAATCTTCAAGACTTGAAGCCCCTTTCTATTGAACACTCAAGTAGTCGTTTTTATAGGTATATACCGTGAAGTGGACTCGAAGAGCGATATGACGACAGAAAAGATCATTCAACGAATCATTGAGCACAGGTGACTTGTGTTACATTAGTAGTCTTCTGACAGGCATCTGGGGTCTAAAAAAAGCATCTGCTGATGAGTTTGCTGCATTCCACTGCAGTAGTGGCACATGTTTGAATCACGAATGAAATTTCAATATACACCGCCTAGGCAGTCGAATACTTTTAAACAAATGCTGCCCTTCCAATACCTTGCAAATATTTGGAAAATAAGTGAATGGTAAACCATACCAATAACACTCAAACCAGAGTTCACTTGAAGGGATGCAACTACGATGCAGGGATTCGCTATATGTGCTGTAATGGTTCGAATATGACCATATAAACATCGTTGGGGGGGGGGGGGTCTTGTCAAGAGCAGCTACTTGTTTTGAAGGCGATAAAGCGTTCCTTTTAGGCTGGAGTTTGAACGTAGGAATAGAAAAAAGGAAAAGAAAGAGCAGGAAGCGTTTGCTGCGCTCCAGAAACTGACAACGAATGGTACGGTGGACACGAGGAACGCTGTTAACATCATGGATTTATAAAAAAATGCCCGTAGTGTAGTAACTGACCTATACTAAATAGTAACAACGGTTTCTTTAGTTTAAGTGTTTATAAAGCATCGAATAGAAATTGTAAGAAGATTAAGTGGTTCATGTAATTCGGCGTAGGTACTTTAATTGCTCCATGAATGCCTTGAATTAGTTGTACTGGTAATAGGTTTCCGTACAACCTGGAACTACCCATTACTACTCCTTTTCAAATACTTACCCTGTCAGAGACTTTTATTGGATTATATTTGCTGTGATTCTATTTGCTGGCCCCGGAACTCACCCCTCCCAATGAGTCTTTTCTTGTGTCATAGCTTTTACTTCTTCACAAAGATTGCCATAGAATGTACATAAATAATTTTCTATAATTCTGATTCTTCTATTCCTTCTCTTCATTTCCTGGGTGTGTTTTCCTGGACCATCCATGATCATAGTTGTGAAGACTTTGTTGTGTTCTAAGGTTTGTCGAATTATGTTGTGTGGGCTTGTACCCATTACAATCTTTCATTGATACATTGATAATTCTTGATATTTTTCTAAACTCACTGGACATTAATATCAATTATTTATGAATAAGTATTAGTAAGAGTAGAAACAAACGTGCAGCAAATAATCGGTTCAGTTATTCTCCATGTGACATTAACCTGCTAGATATTTGGATATTATGTACTCTTTTATTGTATCCTTCATTCTATTGACATTACTGAATTGATTTTCAGTCAAAGTAAACAGAGTAAACAGTTGAATTGTTTGTGATAAACCAGGGTGTTCATGGAAAAGCCATTCACTGATGTCGTTCATATGGCTATTCATATCTGTTACAACGCTCTTGTTCACAAAATTTCAAACAGGCTTTCGAAAAAAGGTGTTGTGTTTCCAGAGGGCAATATTACATTTCAAAGGAAAGGGAGAGGGGAGTGAAATTGTGGGGGCTGGGGGTGTGGAAGGGAGTCTAGGGGGCGCACGCTCGAGCTAGTCGTAGGCGGGGAATTGACTTCTTTGTCAGAGTTAGTGTGTAAGTGCACGCTTTATATTCTGAATTTGAGTTCATGTTGCGGGTAGTGACTGGATGTCTGCCGTCTTTGCTGCATCCTCTTGAAAGCTAGAGGATACGGGATTTTTGAGTGATGGGACACTCCAGTATGAAGTGGAGGAGGCGATGACAAAAACGGCCGAGGTCGTCCCTTGCTTCAGGGGTCTCGCCACAAAGTGATCGCGGTAGGTCACTTGAGAAAAGGTCATTTCACAAAAACGGATGAAAATATACCCTGAAATTCCATAGATAAGAGCGTTTAATTTAACGGTGAAAAATGAATTGGAAAAAATTGAAATTGAATGCAGTCACCCTTCTAACT